GGGACGTATTGTTTCAGAAAGCGGTTATCGAATGGACCCTGCAGGCGTAGAGGTTATCCACCATTTGAAGTCGTCCCCTCCAAAAAACGTTGGTGATGTTAGGCGTTTAATGGGACTGCTAAATTGCTATCGGAGATACATTCCAAATTTCTCTAGAAAAGCGAAACCAATATACGATCTAATTAAGAGTGACGGTGTAGAGACAGGAAATAGCAAACATAATATGAAATCGAAAGGACAGTTACCCTCTAGTACTATTGTGCAGTGGACTAACGATCATCAACTCATCCTTGAAGACCTGTTAGATCATTTGGTTGACCCACCTGTGATGGCCTACCCAAATTTTACCAAACCGTTTATTGTGTGCACTGACGCGTCTGAAGAGGGACTGGGAGCCGTCCTGTACCAAAGTCAAAACGGTGAAACAAGAGTTATTGCGTATGCTTCTCGAAGCTTGACACCCGCCGAAAGAAATTACCATCACCATTCGGGCAAGTTGGAATTTCTTGCACTAAAGTGGGCAATTTGTGACCATTTTCGAGACTATTTGTATTATGCCTCGGAATTTACAGTGTATACTGACAACAACCCACTCACATACATCTTGTCTTCCGCAAAACTTAATGCAACGGGTTTACGTTGGGTCGGAGAACTGGCAGATTTCAATTTTACTATCAAATACCGCCCCGGTAAAGTGAACACTGATGCAGACGCGCTGTCAAGGTTGTTGCCAAATGTCGATAGTTACATGGAGATGTGCACCGAGGAAATTGCAATGGATATTCTCCAAGCCGTAGAGTCATCAATTTTGGAACAGCAAGCGAGTAACATCAGCTGGATCACAGCTTTTACTACAAATCAGGATGTGTTAGAAGAAGATATGAAGCACATTAACAATGTTTCCATGAACACCATTTCTTGTGACGAGATCGCACTTGCCCAAAGAGATGACACAGAAATTAGCAAGGTGATCAAATGGATTGAATCGAAAGAGAGACCTACTTCGGAAAAAACATCTAATGAATCACGCTATACTCGGTACCTCCTGCACGAGTGGAACAAGTTGGAATTGGACAAACATGGATTACTTCGGAGAAAAAGTGGTTTGAAGAATCATAATCAAATAGTTTTACCTAAAAAGCTCCATTGGTTGGTGTACGAGGAACTTCACGAGAAAATGGGCCACTTAGGAGCAGATAGGGTGCTAGAACTTGCCCGTGCTCGGTTCTATTGGCCGCACATGCAGAGAGATGTAGAATCTTACATTTCACATAAATGTCGGTGTGTGAAGCAAAAAGTTCCTACTTTCCAAACTAGGGCACCATTACAGTCCATTACAACAACTGCTCCATTCCAGATGGTGTCTTTAGACTTTGTTCATCTCGAGAAAAGTAGTGGCGGTTACGAGTATATCTTGGTTATAATGGATCATTTTACCCGTTACGCACAAGCCTATGCAACCCGAAATAAGTCAGCTAAGACAATGGCGGAAAAGTTATATAATGACTTTATTTTGCGTTTCGGTTTTCCAGAAAAACTCCATCACGATCAGGGAGGAGAATTTGAAAATCACCTCTTCAAACAACTGGAAAAACTGTGTGGTATTGGACATTCAAGGACTACCCCGTATCATCCGCAAGGCAATGGCCAAGTGGAACGTTTCAATCGTACCCTCCTTGCCATGCTGCGAACCCTACCGGAAACGCAAAAATCACACTGGAAAGACCACCTCCAGAAAATGGTTCACGCCTATAATTGCACGCGTCACGAGTCAACTGGATTCTCGCCATTTTATCTCTTATTTGGCAGACATCCTCGTCTACCTATTGATATGATCCTAAACCTGGAGAGCGAGTCAACTGAGTCACCGAATTATAGAGAGTATGTTAACAACTGGAGCGAAGCGATGTCTGAAGCGTACAAGATTGCAAACGAAAAGAGTTCACAAAGTAGAGCGAAAGGGAAAAAGCTATACGACCGCCGCATCCGTAGTTCGGAGTTACGACCGGGGGATAGAGTTCTTGTACGAAATCTGAGTAAGCGAGATAAACCTTGCAAGCTGCGAAGTCATTGGGAAGACAAGATACATGTCGTGGTCACTAGAAGAGGGGAAGATAGCCCAGTCTATACAGTTAAACCCGAAAGTTCTGATGGCCCGAGTAGAACTCTTCATCGTAATATGCTGTTACCGTGTAGTTCACTTCCCGTGGAACCGCCGTTGAACCAAAAAACGCCTCGTCGTCAAAGAGAAAATACAGTTCCTCCCAGCACAAGATCTACTAGTCAACCGGAATCAGATGAAGACGAATTAGATGGGTTAACATTTGTACCATTGGCGAATGATCAGAGGAGTGGGGCGGACGTAACCGATGCCGTGACACCAGCTCAAGACGGCGACCACGGACATGATGAGATAGACAGCTCAGAGTTACCAGCGGTCGAGAACCCAGATGTATTGGCCCTTGATGAACAACAACCAACCATTCCACCGCCAGCAACGGAAAATGCGTCTATTCCACCACCACCTATGGAAAATACCAGACCTAGCAGAAACAGAAACCCACCACCGAGACTAAATTATTGGACACCAGGTAACCCAGTCACAGGCATTTCATACCCTGGTAGTATGAACACTATTTTCGGTTTTGTAGAGCCTAGTCAACCAGGAGTGATGCCTTTCCCACCAATGAATTCCATTCCTTATATGTGGCAGCCAACCCCCTTACCTTATAATCCCTTCGCATACCTCGGACCTCATTGTCCGTACTGTGGAACAATGTTCTTTAATTAGATAAGTACGTTAACGTTGTATTGAACTGAAGATCGTGATCTTCGAAAGAAACTTTAAGTGCATGTTAGTTTTGAAATTTGAAACGATGTTTTTGAAAACATACGATAGTGGAACGAGTAATAAGAAACGAACTGACTCTTGCCCGAAATGACTGCAGCATCTCGTGTTGGATAAGTTTGTGAGATTTGTAATTGTTGGAGATTTCATGATTCATTGAATCAATGTCGTGTTTGACATTTCTTTCCAGGGGGAAAGTGTAGGGCCCCTGCCCTTAGTTGTATGATTACGCAAGAATCACGCGTGGGACACTCGCGGGACGATATATAGATTAACAGTTGCTTCGAGCACATGTAAAACGAGAGTTTATATAGTTCACATTTTGTTAGTAATAAAATATATATCTTTTGCAATCGTTATGTTCCATACGTGAAGGGAAATAGGAGTAACAGGGTCATGATAATAGGTTTTCATGAAATATCTCATATGTGTCCGCCTAACTAGTTCAAATGAAAATTATAGCCATTTTGAAACGTCATTGTTGCCATAGTAATCACAGTTACGGACTTTTCCGCTACAGTTTCTGATTCTCAAAATACTGTGCTATAATGAAGACATCTGAGTTCATTCTTCTATAAAAATATCGATGTTCAAAATTTATTGTTCTGACATGTGTCTTTTCTACTTTTCAAGAAACTGTACGGAGACACCTTAAATTAATAAAGTTTATGTTTGTTTGTGACGTCATAACGAACTTTCTTTCAGATCTTAAATTCCAGTACGTTTTAACTCAACACGTTTTATTTAGTATTAAAATACTTTCAAAATGAAGCCTGTTTAATTAAATTTGCAAATTTTCCCTGCTTTTTGCTTTCCATAACAAATTACTAACAATTTGTTTAATAACTTAACTGGTTTAAATTAGATACAATGAAATTAATATTATATTTCAAATTATCCTTATAAAGTTAAAAATACTAATGAAATTAAATGAATTTTACTTTTAAATGAAGGTTGTTCACTTCACATATATGCAAAAATTGTTTCATTTAATTTTGTGAAGTTGTCGTTCGGGTTAATTGATTTGTTTGTGACGTCATAACGAACTTCTCTCGAATTCTTTCATTTTTAGTATATTTTAAATTAGTATTTCAATACGTATTTACAATGTTTAGTTGAGTTTTCACATTCTTAAATTTAGTTTGTATCTAATAACAATTTGTGAATAATTTCTTACACAATTTAAAACATCATGCTACGATTCTGGTTCAGTTTTTAGGCATCTCATTTGATAAATATCCATTATATGAATTTATGGCTTTTTATATTTCGAAAGTATGAAATTTAAATACTAGTAAAAACAATTTCATGGTTTTTGACAATATAATCATACAAATACTTTTAAAAAATTTAGAATTTCCTATTGTCTAATCAAGGTATTATGACGTCATAATGAACTAAATTGAACAAGAAGGTCGAAGGATAAAAATGGCGCACATCATATTCTTTTGTTTGTCTTTGTCAAGCTTTTTCAAGCTAGTTTAATTCTTTTTATTAAAATAAAACATACGTAAAGAGGATTTAAACAAATTATGAGTTTTTTTATAACAATTGTTTCAGCATGATATGAAATCATGTTAGAATTTCTCATTCAAAAATTTTATTTCTTCTCCAGATTTGGAGAAGAAAGCCGAAGGGAAAAAAATGGCTATTCTTGTTTTCTTTTCGCTTTTCATTCTTTGGCTTTAGTTGTTGTCAAATGGTTCACCGCTTATCCCCCCTAATAAATCAAACAAGCATTGCATGTGTTTTCAAACTGTTTATTTCGTTTTAAAAGCTCAAGATAGTACAATGTCACTTTTTTATAAACGGTTTGTTAACAATATTATACAGGCGTGCTTCGCTACAATAACTATCCGTTTCAGATCTTAAGTCTTAATCCTAAATGAACTTAGTTCTTAAAAAGTTCTTTCATTGATATAGTTCTTTTTTATTCGCGATAGTTGATGCGTCTTGCCGCCCTTCGCACTGGCCGTCCTCGCATGGTCTTAGCTGCTGGTCTTTTGAAGGCTTTTGGCTTTTGGCTTCTTCGCGCTTTTCGTGTTTTCTTTGCTGACTTGCTTGCGGTCTTTCTGCTTCTTCTTTTCGTGCTTCGTTTTGCTTTCTTCTTAAGAGTTCTGCGTTTGCGTTGTCGGCGACGTCGTTTGCTGGCGCTCTTCTTGGCTGTGCTCTTCCTTGCGCGCTTGGCTTTGCGCTTGCGTCGTTTGGGTGACGAGGCTTTTCTCTTTCCTCCAGCCCGGAGAACAAAGGATTTGGGTGATTTCTTTGCCATGCTTCCCTCGCGGCAGGCACGTCCAATTGCTAGGATGACAAGCGTTCTGGAACTCTGCGACACTTTCTTTGTTCGTACCAAGTAGTTGAATATGGCGTTGATCGTCGAACCATTTCTGTCACCGAGTGCAGCCACGGCTTCCTTCACCATCTCGATGCTCACGGATTTTTTGGCGCCACCGGCGCTCCTCCTTGCTTTGTTAGACTTCCTAGCTTTGGGTGCCATTGTTTAGGGTAAGCTCTGAGACAGTTTTGTCGGAGATCAGCAAGATACGTCTGCACGTCACGAAGGCCAGGCAGATAATGAAGCAACTAATTAAGCAATCAACCTAATGAACACAGTTCGCGTCACTAATTGCTTTGTGTGTAATTAATTGGAAAAATCACGCTAATTAACTTCCGGTTATGAAAACATTTCAAAAAGGTTTTTTTGCAATGTATGCAAAAAGTAGTGCAAAATTTATTGCGCAGCCATTGTGTCGTCCACTTACAGGCCAGCATGCGCACGCGCCCAATTTCCTTCCATCACGATCATACATCTTTATGCTAAATTATTTATATTACTTTTTTATGACTAAAGCCTCTTTACTAGTGAACAAAGTATAGATAATTTTTTTCCGGACATAAATCAGTAAAATTAAGAGTCAAAAAAAATTTTCCGTACAAATTCCTGCTAAAACATGGGTGAAACCCTTATTTTTGGACCAATATCTGTAAAATTTTGGTCTATAAATACTATTCAATTCCCTCTGAAAGCCCTTCAATCATTTAAAATCTTTGATTGCCCTGCCAATCCGGACGATTCACCCTGCCAATCCAGATAATTCGTACTTTGGCGGGTCTCACCCCCCCCCTCAAATTTCGCCCCTGGTTGTCGAGCTCAATTAACAATTCGTCAACAAGTTGTGAATGACAACCTTGTAGCAATTTCGTAAAATAACAGAATTGTTACAACTTGTTGAAAAACTTGCTACAAGCCTGTTGCGAACAAATCTTGTTGACAAGTTGTGAGGTTTTTACGTGCATAGTTTGCACTCAGACTGCAACCACGGTTAATGGAATACATGGTTTGGACTCGATTAAAGTACAATATAACTCATTAACTATGTTGGTTTCGGTTTATGCAAGAATTTGGGCCTATCTCGTCACGTGTGTATATTGTATTTTTTCCCGCACAACCAATAGCAATGTCTAAATTGAGCATTTGCTCAAGTAACGGTGCTATTAGTGGTTATTTGAGCGAAAATACAATACACACGTGACGAGATAGGACCAAATTCTTGCGTAAAGCTGAACAATAACATTGTTAATGGGTTATATTGTACTTTCATCCAGCCTCCAAGCCATCTATTAAAATAACTATGCTGCAACATAATTTATTACCAATTTTGCAATTTTCGCATTCAATTTTCTTGCTAGTAACAGTCTAACATACAAACGCAAATTAATTATAGGGACTGCATACCTTTGCCAGGAAGTTACCAATGCACTACTGTGATTACGCATCAAGTTCTTTTTAGCCCGTCAAGCAAGATATAGTCTATCCAGATATGATGATCTGGAAACTGAACTGAAGTCACTGCAGTGTTATTTTTTGTCTGAGTTTATGTTAATTTGAGCTCATTGTATTTTCGTATAATTTTGTAATCGTCCAAAAGGGATAGCAGAGATGAATTAAAACGACGAATAATAGTTAATGAAGTTGAGACAAAGGATTTGGGCATGTTGAGGCACACGGTTTCTATTTTGTGGAGGGGGAGGGGGGACATGCACGGGGGGAGTTAAGGGGTGATGGCCGCCTCCCAATCACCATTCTCTCAAAAAGTATAAACCCGTAGATAAATTGGGCGGGGGATGCACGTTACATTCTCGAAGCTAAACCTAGGACAACAACGATTCGACCTAGGACAACAACGATTTATACTGGAGGATCTTGATGCGTAAAATCTTGTTAAAGCGTTTGTATATATGGTTCCTAGAAGGGTGGCCGGACATTTTGCCGAAAGACACTTTGCCGAAAGACATTTTGCCGAACGGACATTTTGCCGACGGACGTTTTGCCGAACGGACGTTGTGCCGAACGGACGTTTTGCCGAACCGACGTTTTGCCGAACAGACATTTTGACGAACGGACAACTTGCAGAAAATAGAGATATCTTCTGAACTTTAAAGGTTCGCTTACACGGTCAAAGTTTCTGTGATTAAATTTAGTCATTGTCGAATTTGATGACAGAAACTTTGATAGTGTAGTATAGTTTCGTTTTACATTCTTTCAAGTTTTTGATAACATCTCTATTTTCGGCAAGTTGTCCTTTCGGCAAACTGTCCATTCCGCAAAATGTCCGTTCGGCAAAACGTCGGTTCGGCAAAACGTCCGTTCGGCAAAACGTCCGTTCGGCAAAACGTCCGTTCGGCAAAATGTCCGTTCGGCAAAATGTCTTTCGGCATAATGTCTTTCGGCAAAGTGTCTTTCGGCAAAATGTCCGGGTACCCCTAGAAGAATGGATTTAGTTTAGATTTTCAACTGTTAAATGGCATGTTTGGCATTACCATAGCGTAAAGATTTCTTCTCAAACTTATTCTGTATCCAATAAAAAGTAATGCAATTTTGATCGACTAAGGTATCCCAACAACTTTTGAAAGGGATTGTTGTTTGTGGATTTCACATCGGAACTCACGCGGTAATGATTTGCACACCAGATCAGGCGGAATCATTCCTCTAAAAGTTTCGCTTGGTAAAAGCAGCAGACTGGGGCTTTCACAGTGACCATATATATGTTTTTGGCAAAACAATTTGCTGAAGAAGTGGCACTGGTGTCGTCGCGTTCCACACTTGGCATGAGAGGTGTTATGAAGGTCACTGAATTCTTACAAGTAAAGCAAAATTTGTAACTATATATAAACGGACAATAGTGTAATGCAGAAGTGCACTGCTAAGGTACAACTGAGAAATTTATTTTTAATTTTATAACTACCTCCATAATAACAGAAAACTAAAAATTTAAAATTCCGGAAAACTACACGAGTTATCCAGAACAATCCATTCACGAATGAAACTCTTTTAAACAGATTATTGCTTTCAGACACAGCAATCGGCATTCATTTGGAATCATTGAAGAAAACATAATTCCTGTAATTCTATTTAAACGTATTTCTTCAATTTGACGCAGTAATTCAATCTACTGTACAAAATGGTCAGAAGAGTCCGCAATCATTGTATATGTAATCCAGTCTTTATACAAGTGAAGTTGTAAGAAACAACGAATTAAATGTTAGACAAGTGAACGTAAAATTTTCTTAAGAAATGCTTTAGCATTTGGAATTTCCTGCCGAGCTTAAATAAACACCGCACAGAAATAAAGTTCTCCCTTAAATACATCGGCATATAAGATCTAAACAAACGAGTCTCTGATAATCACTAGACCCATGGTAGTTAACGCTGCGTGAAGAATGGGGTCATTCATGCTTGAAAGAATGACTTAACTTCCATTGAATACAAAAATACCCAATTGCAAAATTAATAAATGTTAACGATATGAACAATGGATGATAACGCCGAACTCGCCATATCCATAGATCAACCCTGGGAACGAGGTTGATAGATATCTTGTACAGCTATTTCAATTAAGGTTGTCGCCCGAGCAAAGCGGAAAAGTCGAATACGAGCGCGAAAGGCTGCTGGGAATCGTTAATAAATTCATTCATTTATTAGCGATTTCCAGCAGCCTTTCGCGCTCGTATTCGACTTTTCCGCTTTGCTCGGGGGACAACCTTAATTGAAATAGCTGTATACACTACTAGATAGCGCATCTCTTTTAGTAAAATTGAAGCCAAAATATTCCAGCTGTTACTCACATTTGAATAGATGGCGGCCATGTGGAGTTTCCCACTCGCTAATAAACGCTTAAAAAACAACAATAACTTTCATCATTTGAATAGTTTGAAAATGTATTTGGAACAGGCTTAATGTTTAAGTACCCTGTTTAAGAATTAGAAAACATACTGTACGAGTCTTCTCATTTCATGGGAATATCCTGAGTCTGCAATCACGGCTTCAATTTTTGAATTGCAGAATAATTAGATGCACTATCTAGTGTATATAAGATATCTATGCCCATATCTCACCTCAATTGAACGTCTTAGGGACCAGCTCAAGCGCTCTTTCTATCGTCGCCTATTACAGAATACAGCACTCTGGCTGACTGTTGGTTCAACTGCTGCAGGACAAATGGATGGCTATACCTCAACGGCGCGCAGGGCCGCCGAGAGGTTGGCGGGGGCCCGGCGCAAATTTTTTTTCGGGGGCCCCATATTCCAAAAATTTTTCCGGAAAAAATTTATCTCATTTTTTATGCCAAATTTCGGTACTTAGCCCAAGAAAACAGATATCTTGTCCTTTGCGCGGAAATATTTATCACACAAAAAAGACTGGGGCCCAACAAAAAATTTTCAGGGGCCCCCAGCACCTCGGGGCCCGGGGCAATTTCCCCCCCCCCCCTCTCGGCGGCCCTGACGGCGCGTGGTCAGACTCGTAAACACCATGAGGACGACGCCTGGAGATGATCGAGGAGCGTGGTGGTTAAATTATTATTTAAACATTACTGTTGTGTTTTTGCAATTAGGTATTTTTGTATTCAATGGAGGTTAAGTCATTCTCTCAAGCATGAGTGACCCAATTCTTCAACCAAATTAATTTAGCAAATCATGCACCATAGGTCTAATCACTGCTAGCTGTGATTATCAGGGACTGATTTGTTTTGAACTAATGCTGACGTATTTAGGGGAGGGGCGTTCTTTTTGTGTGGTGTTTGGATTGATAACGCATTTTGTTTTCCGCCTAGTAAATTACCGATGTTGTGTTAAAATTATAATCTGCTTACCGAATTCGATTCATTACACAATCTTTTATAATAACCTTCTAATCTTAAGATCTTGAAAACAGAGATCCAGAATTTTAAAAATGCAAAATTCCACTCAGCCAAGCAGGTATTTTCATCGGAAAAAAGACAAGCTGACTGGCTGTCAAATTAAGTCCATGCACCTAAGCTATAGTTCAAGTTATAAACAACATTTATGCATGAAACATAATTAAAATAAATTACACGAACTTCACAAATTTGAAGAAGGAGCATTCGTCACTTGAGGCTGCTCAGTATTGTCCTCATACGGTTCTCGTCCAGTTTCACTCTCAATGATACCACCATGAGATGTCCAATGTAAGGTCTTCACTGTCACAATGTCATTGTCAATGATCTTCTCCTACATCAAGGAAGATATTTGACTGGGATTACCAAAAACGTGAGTTTAACTTGATTGATATTCATTTTGAACTCGCTAGTTGTAATGTTATACATAAAAGAGACCTTACGATTTTAGGACGGCAAAGCGACGACGACGGTCAAAACAAACTCCTTCGAACAAATGGTAGTAAAAATAATTCGTCTTTTATTATCAATCGTAATGTCTTCAACTTCTAAGACTGTATTAAATTCATGGGTTTTATGGTTGGGAAGAGTTATGCTGAACCCAGTTTGAAGTTGGTCTTGCTACGGGTTGAAATGCAGCCGTTGTATCAAGACGTGAAAATCTGTGATTTGGCTTTGTAAACAAAGCGAAGGACAACTCTAAATTATTCATATATTGTAATTATTCAATTTTTTTGAATGATTTATTGTATTGGTAGCCGTTACCGTCGCGTTGCCGTCCTAAATCATAAGGTCTCTAAAGAGATGTGCCCAACAACAATTGTCTTCCCGCGGCCAGGGACGTCGCGAAGGCATCAAAATTGGGTCGTCATGTTTTGACCAACATTTCCTAGGATTTTGACCAGTTTTAAAAAATTTTCCTGAAAATCTTGTCGACGGGGGGAGGGGAGGTCGTCAAAAAAATTTCGGACTAACATAAGCATAGTCAAAAAAAATTTTCCGGACTAACATAAGCAAATTCGAAAATTTTTCGACCAATATAAGCAACGCTTCCAATTTTTTCAACGCAAACATAACAAAAGCTTTAATATTGTTAAAATTACGAACCATTTCATAACATTCGGCAGATTCGACCATCTTTTATCCCAAACTTTGACCAAATTTTTCCCAGTTTCACCCCCTATAGCGACGTCCCTGCCCGCTATTACACCCCAATGTAGAGACTTACATCTTCTTCTGACATATACAATCCTTTTTGTTCAAACCCACGATTGAACATAAACTTGCCCATTCCAATTGGCTAGACGAGAAAACATATTGTCACAGTTAACGAGAAGGTATACCACAAACCTCCGAATATAAGCCCCCAAATATACCCCCCAACCTCGGGTAAAAGCCCACTATATTCGCTAACGCTCAGGCCATTCTGAAAAATGGTTACAAATGACGGTATTTCAAAATCCGAAAACGAAGTGTGGATTGGATATCAAGTCCGAGAAAGTCTGGAGCTAACAAGAAGGATCTCACAAATTCTTTTTTAAAGATGCTGTAAAGTCCGTTCTGCGCATAGTCGGGACCCGACCATTGGAATGTTATTAATATTTGGCATCTTCCAAACTTTCTTGAATTGAATCTCTAGTCTGTGTTCATTTACAAGCATAGCGAACCAGAAGAGTGTTAAAAATTCAGTATAATATATATCTAATCATATTTTACAACTGTAGCACTGAGTTCAAAATGTACTGACAAAGCGTTTGCGGCAATTAGACTATACATGTATTATTTATCATTTATAGACCTGGAGCGAGGGGGATTCGGCGAAATATTTCATCACTGAGGGTAATAGTTCGCCGAATCCCCCGAGCGGAGGGTCTATAAATGATATATTATACCGAAAATTAAAAGCCTCCAAGTTGAGAATTAAAAACTTGACACATACCTTCCTAACCTTCGTGAATACGATGTTTTATTTTTGGATTAACGCAAGTATTCGTCGATTTTCTTTCGAATCACATATCGTTTGGAATATTAATGACAACATTTTTCAAAATTTGCTTCAAAATTTTGAAAAAGCCCCAGGTTTTACGTTTAAAATTTGATTATTCATCACTCATCAATATTATTTATATTTTGTCGGCCATGTTTTTGTCATGCGTGTTGTCTCGCGCGGTCTACGCGAATAATGTTCCACCCCATCACAGAGTAGAGACGTATGTCTTATCTACTCTGTGACCCCATGTTCCCCGGGGAACATGGGGTGGAACCACTGAGCTATAATAGTGAGCTTAAGCAAATGACGTTTTTGACAACACGGACGTCGACCGGAAGTAAAGCTGACGTTTTTCACCAATCACAGCCCTTGACCCACTCTTCTGACGTTACTCATGCCGTTCGTGTTGTCAAAAACCTCACTTGCTTAAGCTCACTAATATTACTGGAGGAGGTGCTCCTATCCTATGCTCCTATCTATCCGTCAGTCAAACGAGTGTCCGGAAAAACATGGCGGATTTTCATGTTTGCTGACGCCAATTGGTTCCTCCGGCTCATGGCAATTACCACTGACCAACCGCGATCCTACGCTTGAAGTAAAATCCTTCACCCCCCTGGTTTTTGCAAAAATTTTGATCATAATTTTCGAGTTTCGACTGAACATTTTGATATTTTTGCAGTCGAGAAAAAAGTGTGTTAGTTTTAAGTTTTTAGTCTGCTTGTAGATGAAACAATTCACTCGAAAGGATTATTATATTTCTTGTTTTCAGGTAAGATTCACAAAAGTTTTATTTCTTTTACTTTTTTTAAGTTCTAGCTTGCCAAAGCTTCGGGCAAATTTTATAACTTGCCATTTCGATGGAAAAGCATAAATACATTATGTCAAAAACTACCGTTATAAGCAGCAAATGTATAATATTGCTAATTTCAACAATATCACAGTAGCTTTGTATCCTCTTTTTTGTTGTTCTTTATATTCAAACTCATTCTCATACTGTATTAATTGTGTCTCATATCTTGGGTTCAAAATCCTTTTCCCGACTTGTTTTGTTTTATATTACTTTGAAATAATGAAATTCGTGATTGGTTTTAACTTTTAACTGTTAACTACCAGGTTTTTGTAGCAGTATTTATTTAGGATGCATGTGCACAACCTACCTTTTCAGTACCCTGCCAGTTGCCACTCTGGCACTTTAAAAAATAATTCAGCATTTAAACCTTTATTATAAGTGATTAATAAAGGAACACTATGCCCTACTTTGTTATCCTACTCAGTCCAATACCAGATAATTTTACTTGTTAAGGGGAAAGTGCTAGTGCACTCAATTGCTTAATAATTTTAAGTCATATTAAACATCATTTTTTATTTGTATCACCCCCCCCCCCTTCGATATTCTAGCACATTTTACTTGTGGATCCCCCCTCTACACTGTCACAGCTGTAACTTGTAGCACAGGCTGTGGGAGTCTGAATCTTTTCTGTAATTCATGTAATGACCCAATATAGTTCAAGTGCCCTCACAAATCCAATGGAATTTGCTTATCCTGAGGCTGATGCTCAAGCATGAACAAGAAAAATACAAATAAGGTGTTTGAATGCAAGGGCTGTTGCAGAAATAACTTTATTTGATCATTTCCATTACACAATAGCATGTTTATTATATACAAAGAGTGTCAAAGACCATATTCTTCACACTGACCATCTATTACATAATTTTATTGCAGTGTAAGGATGTATCTTAATGTAATGTTACATTCTGATATTCTGTCATTCATTTTGCAGGTAAAATCATTCACAGGTACCACAAGACATATCACAATGGATCAAAATGCTGAACAGCCAAAGCAAAATCATACCCATCTGGCTACAAAGTCACAATAATAACTTGTCTGGATAGTTTTATCACTGCTAACTAAATTAATTATTTCTAATAATTGATAATTCTTTAATAAAGAGGTTGAACTATGAACTGTCTCACCATCAAATAATTCTGCAATTAGACCAAAAAGAGATTATATAATTAAAATGTTGTAAAATGAAGTTTTCACTAGAGACAAAAAAGTAAGAAAGTGAAGAAAGGAAATGAGAAAAGTAGCTTAAGCCACCACACTATTTAAAGGCTTGAATGTATCATGCAACTACCTGAAAAATAATACTATAGGTCCTTGAAATGTTGAAGTTCATTGGTTTCTTAGTTTCAGGTGGTTGCATCTGATACAGGGGTGCACAGAGAGAGGACTGAAATGAACAAAACCCCAAATAAATCCACCTGCATGGACTGGAAGTGACATTATCTACCAATTAAATTGTTTCTGACTTGATGTCTGACTAGCATGTGTGACTTTCTCAGTTCTGGCCTGTATAATGAGATCCAGTGCAACCCTATAAAGCCTATAATCTAGATACTTTGCTTATACCTACACTTGTGATTGGTACCCAACATTCAGGAAGTACAATCCTATTTCTAGTGGCTCAAGAATCCTCAATTCAACATGTCATTAGTCAGAAATCTAGGTAGAAATCATATTACCAGATAAGTTGCCCACAGTATCCTGAGCTAATCTGGCACCCCTAGGCTAGCTTCTACTGGCACCCTAGATTATGCATACTATAATAACCACAGACTCTAGTATATATATAAACACAAAGAATATAGATAGAAGCACATTGTTTCATGCCTTTACACCTGTACATACACTTATTTAGCACATACAATTGCATAAAATCAAGCATGTCAGATTTCAGTCATCAGTCTATATAGAAAACCCAAAGGATTTGAGGGAAAAAACTGATTTAACTGAATTAAATAAAACAAAATTTGTTTAACAAAAACCATGGCCAGCCAACAATTTAACAAAGCTAGTAAAGTAAGAAAAAAAAACAACAAAAAAACTTAATTTGAATATAAAAACAAAGTTTCTGTATTTTTTTACGACAAGACTTTGAACACATGGGGGAAAATAATACGTTATACTATACAAAGAGCCTGTTATCTAATGGATTATATTCTATCATTTACTCCCATTATCTTTTAAAAATTAAAAATAAAAACATATCAATAGTATGTGAAATATTTACCTGTGAGCTCTGCCATCAAATATCGCCTTTGCCTAAATTTCTCGGGCTTTTCATATTGGTTTGTTGTCTTTCGCGGGTGAGAATAGCGTGTACGACTTTTAAATCTTTTAACAAATGGTCAAAAGTCGAAAAAATATAAAAAAACAACGAGATTTTACTGCAAAAACCTCGAAAAGCAAAAAATTTTTTGATAAAACCAGGGGGGTGTGAAAATTGTAGCGGGCTCAGAATTGAGCCTGGTCAGCGGTAATTTCATGAGCCGGAGGAACCAGTTGTCATGGAAATGGCGTCATATGGCGCGAAAATCCGCCATGTTTTTGCGGACACTTTTTTTGCCGAGCACTTCCTCCAGTAATATAGTATAGCTCAGTGGGTGGAACATTGTCAAAAGGAACGCAGGCTCGCTAATTGATGACGTAAGGCGTGATATCGCGATTGATTTCATGCTCACGTGGCACAAACTAAGCTTCTTGATTGGACAATTTGAATTTGAGGTATAATATAAAACAATTATACCATTCACTCTCGTCGTATATCGCTGATGGCCGACTCGGCTGTGCTACACACCTCGTCGGCTATCAGCTCATGTGCGACTCGAGCTCATGGTATATATAATTGTTAATGGATGATTCCAGCTAAAGACGAAATTTTGATCTACAGGGTGTCTCAAAAAAACCCAAAATCATTCGTTCACTTTACAAAGATATTTTAATTTTTTAAAACAAATTAATCACCCTGTCAAAATCCTTTGTGTTACGGCATTGAAATTCGAACAATACGTTATTTCAATGATTTTGGGGTTTTTTTAGACACCCTGTATAGACAGGAAGAACGAAACCATTACCATAGCTGGACTTAATAGTATAGATGGGTTTTCTGCAGATGGATACGGATAGAACCTGTAACGGTAAGGCAAGATCCAGTTATACATACACATCCAAGATGAAAATATCCTCGAAATTTCATTTGTGGATATTCAACAATTCCGATGCCTTCTTGATTGCCAATATTCCATATTCCTGTAAACTGAAAGTCAACGAAATAATGCTCAAACACTACCTATGAAACACTCTTGTTAAAATTTCCTGATTAACCTGGAATGCAGGATCTTGCAGATGGAAATTATCGAGTGGAAATTTATATACTTTTATTAGACATAACCGGGAATGGCTGCGAAAATTGCAACTATACATGTAGGTCCCTGGCAAGAATTGAGCATGGTTAGGTCCAATAAATGTATATAACTAATTTCCACTAGATAATTTCTATCAACATGCAATACCCTTCAACAATTACTCAATCGAGTGAGATGCCAAGAAAAATCTTGATATTTACGCGTAAACTATATTACATGGTAGTACCCTAGTACACATGAACTTGTTGTTAGAGCTCGCGAGAACTGCATGGACTCGGTTAGAGCGCTCCACCGGAATCGCAGGGCCACAGGTTCGATTCCTGCAAGGGACCTATAGTTGCATTTTTCGCAGCTGTTCCTGGTTAGGTCTAATCGTGGATTGTAAAATAACTGGATAGGAAACTTCCTGACGTCATTGACCTCATCCTTGTTGAAAAACGTGACGTCGCGCGTATTTCGAATATTACCAAAGTTCTCGGCATTTTTGTTGTTTTGCTACATTTTCCACTTTAAAAGGGTGATATTCAAGCATATAAACTGGTCTAATTGTTTTAAAAACATGCCTACGAGAAACTATTCAAGGTAAATGTTTTTCGCCTTTGTTTTGTATTTTTTTACATTTGTAGCTACGAAATTGGCGTCACAAATTTTAACGAAATTTGCGATGTATTTTTCACTGTTTAGTGCTTGAAATATTTGCTAAAATTGACTGGGAATACTTAATAGAGTTTTCATCGTGGAATGGCGTGGTTATATTTACTTGATCTTTGACTAAAATGTTTAGTTGTATTATCGCTAAACATGCCGTTTTTGAGAATCTGGTTTGCAACTAGGTTGGGACATCCAACCACGCCATCAGTCCATTGAAAACATTAGGTCACGTCAGCTAGTTTCCTATCTATTTATTATATAATATTATCCATGGTCTAATAAATGTATATAAACTTCCACTCGATAAATTCAAACAAGAAGACCCTTCAACCTGGAACTAGAATAACACCATTTGGGATAACTTAATATATTCAATATATTATATAAACAGGTACCTGATTTAAGCTATTCTATACAATCTGATTGGCGCTCCACTAGAAGTATTTTGAACAATTATTCAGCAATATTGTTTTCTCAGGTTTAGGCCAAGTTGTGTGGATATATTGCCAAACTAACTGTCAACATATTGCCATATGGAAGAGTCTGTCTACAGTATTTGCAGCCCATATAATGAAACAGTTATTCTGCTGCACTCTCGTCGTATATGCTTAACAGCCAACTCGGTGTTACGCATCTGCTGTTATGACTACTTCGAGCCCCTATTTATTCATTTTCAGAGAAATGTTGTTTGAAAAATTTTGGTCACAATCTACATTGATTTAAACTACAGGGGCCGGTTATTCAAAGCTAGGTTAGCTTAACGGCTAGATTAACCTAAAATTCAAAGCAAATTTCCTGACAGCTTGTCTATAAATTTGGAAATATTTTTTCAGAGAGCTTGTCTGGATCGATAGGAGTTTACTTCTCTGAAGTTTTGAAATAAACAGACGTGCAAAAATACTCAAACTAAAACAACAGGTTAAATTTTAACCCAGGGTTAGCGCTAACCCACCTTTGAACAACCGGCCCCAGTATTGTTGCGCTTGAATAGGGAAGAAGGGCACAGCGGTTCGAGCAAGACTTGGAGCAAGTCTAGCATTTCCCATGAAGAGATCTATACCTGGGTGTTAGCATGTTTGTAATTATAAACTCCTTGTCCATGTTTCTGACCATTCATCCACTCTCCTTCGTATGTATCACCAGAAGCGTAATAATATATTCCATATCCCTGACGTTTGTTATGATCCCATGTACCTAATTGAATAGATAATATATGCAGATATTAATGTAATTAAATTGAAATTGTATAGGGGCTTCGACTCTCCGAACACAGGACTGCATACGCAGGATGTTTTCCACCAGGGGACAGTTATACCTATATGCTGAAATAAGTACCCAAATCTCAATGCATTCAAAGTTACATCAGTGAGATGCTTATGGCCATCCCGCGGCCTACATAAAATCAAAAAAATTGATTCACAAGATTATAAGCGTTATTTAGCTTAATCTTTATAATAACATTACAAAATTAGTAATTCTGTAGTAAGTCAAATCATAGTTAATATAATGGTCAAATTTGCCCTGTCTTGTATGTAATATGTGATATGTAGCCGTGTTCTTTGGCAAAGTTAAATAAATAAATAATATTAATTAGGATTATTAAATAAATAAACCATTAGAATCATACGTATACACGAACTGTAAGTTAGAGCTCGACAACTGGCTTCTGTAGCTCAATGCCTCAATTTGTTAGAGCGCTGCACCAAATTCACTTGGTCGCACTTTCACTTCCTGCCAGATGGCCTATAGTTTCATTTTTTGCAGTTGCTCCTGGTTAGGTATAATAAATATATAAAATTCACATTCGAAATTTCCATCTACAACACCCTTCTACAAATAAATAATTGCCGTCCGCTTGTATTTTCCCGTCGTCCGCATTTTATCTTTCTCTCGTCCGTCCATCCGTTTTCCGTATCCGATTTTTAATGTATGGAATAATGAGTCGGCGCATGCGCATGGTCAATCAGGAAGGAATCAACATGGCCGTGTACAAAATACAAATCAGCGATTCACTCGTATATTCGAATAGAAAATCACTTTGGGAAAGTATTTTGGCCACATTGCCGTTATTCTGGATGAAGAGTTGAAATTATAAAGGTTGTCTTGTATTTGAAGAGCGATACATTGCAGAGGTGATTGTATAAAATATCGAAGATGTGGCACGAGGCGAGAAAGCAGGAGAGAAAAATCCGTGGTATCATGGTGAATTACAAAAAGCGAGCTGAACGACGAAGGGCATTCTACGAAAGAATGAAAACAGACCCGACAACATTTCTCCGAATTCAGGGGTCAAATTGCAAGATTCACATTGAGCATCAAAATTCTGACAACATAAACATGATGCCTTGGCAGGGTGATAAAACTGTTATGATTGATAGATTTGATGTAAGAGCTCATTTAGACTATATCCCAGAACCTTCAATTCCACAGACAGATAAATCAGTGAACAGCTCTGAAGAGAAAAAGTTAAATTATGAGCGATATCGTACTTTGGTTATGATCGAAGCATCCGGAGCGACTGAAGAAGGATATCTAAAACAACTCAGACAGGAAGAGGAAAACCCTAGAACAATGGCCGAGGAGAAAAAAGAAAAACCTGCTCCGAAAGCAACTATAGGGTATACATACGAGGACAGTAATCTTGTAATGAACGAGGCAGAACTTGACTCCGGCAGCGACAGTGAGAGCGACGCGGATTTAGACATTGATGTTGCCGTTAATGTTGACGAGCTGGATAATGAACAGCGAGGTGACCTAGACAATTTATCTGTCAAGTTCGGAATGGAACCTGGTAAATATTGTTCTTTACTGAAAGCAGATAAAGACGAGGCCGAACATGTACAGAAAGTTCGAGACGAGGAGGAAGCGAGGAGTCAGTTACGGGGAAGGCGTGCAAAAAGGGATCGTCGTTCACTTAAAGATCGCCAAAGGGGAACTGTGAACACCTCACCGTTAAGCTATCTAAGAAAGGCAAGCCCTTCTTACGAGGCTTATCGTGAAAGTAGGTCAAGGTCACGGTCATCCTCATCAGGTGGAGAGCCGACCAAAGTAGAGTATATAACCGAGTTTGGCTCTCAGGGTAGTAAGGATAACAACTCAACTAACAGTGATAGAAAGAAAGGTTCCCAAAATGAAATAAAAAGCAAACATAAAAGGTATGATGATTCAGAACAACTGAAAGTGTCTGAAAATTATAAGAAATCAAGATCGGAAAGAAGGTCTAGGTCAACATCCCATGAACGTCATTCAAAGTATCGATCCCGTTCCAGATCTCGTTCTAGATCCCGTTCTCGTTCACCTTCATACAAACGAAGATCTTATCACAGAAGTCGATCTCATTCCCCATCTCGGGAGCGACGTGAATCCAGGGATGTTTATGCAAGTGATAAAAGAACAAAATCCATAAGTCAAGAAAAGAAATCAGACAAGACTAAGTCATCTTTGTCGGGGGATAAGACAAAACTAACTCCTCAAGAAAAAATGAAAAAACGAATGCAGTTGGCTTTAAATAAACAGTTGAAAATAGACAAGAAGGAAGAAAGGAAGAAAAAAGAAGTAAAAGAACAGGAAAAACAGGAGAGAGATGATGATTTGAAAGAGGTTTCAAAGCGATGGAAGGATAAAAAGAGATATAGATACAGTCGTAGCCGTAGTCGATCTTACTCTCCAGAATACAGGCTTTGATGTGAGTTGATATTGTTTGCCTTTGCATGTTTTGTAATTTTATCAACCAGAAAACTTGTTCAAAGGATGAATAATTCTAATACACGTGCATGATTTATACGAGGTATGTGACTGTACAGTCAAAACTTATAAACAGCAAGCCTGGAAATAAGTGTCCAGTCACGGTCATTGACCAGTACAAATACATGATTTCTAGTGTTTTGTGTCACTTTGTCTGGTTTGCATTATTCAGCGTTTCAACCCTAAAAATTTTCCTTTTCTTAATTACTCAAAATGTCCCTCTTTTTTCCAAAATTTCCTTCCATTTTTGAGAAAATATTACAGTAATAATTATAATGTTACTTAATTTTTAAAATCTAGATTTTAGCTTAAAAGCAAATCATATCAAATTATCAGGAAACTTATGTGATTATTTCTATATATTAGCAAAATATTATTTCAACAGCATTAAAATGCAAACAGCAAGGTTAGCAAAAGCTGTGCTACAAAAGCTGAAAATTTCTAAGGGCCTGTTTATATGATCCCGCCTAGACAGGACGGGACGTTTTCATCCCGCTTAGACGGGATACTCGCCTAGTGTTTATATGGACAAAATACATTGCCGGGATGAAGCCATTTAAGTGCTTGACGTCATATTTTTGTTGCAATAAAGGCATTTACGCATGCTCAAAAGGGAAAAATTCATCCCGCCTAGCCGGGATGAAGTGTTTATATGGGAATTTCTCGTCCCAGCTAGGCGGGATGAAGTGTTTATATGGGAATTTTTCATCTCGCTCAGGCGGGGTCCCGGTATTTGTTGCTGAGATCCCGTCTAGGCGGGATAAGTGGCGGGATCATATGAACACTCTTTAGAATTTGTATTACGAGTGGGATCTCGGTAAGCATTCCGTCCTGCTTGGCCGGGATCAGATAAACAGGCCCTAAGTACCATCGAACTATAAGTATATGTAACCACTACATACTTGACTGACAGGCTTTTTTTGTGATCTATAGGCACACATGCATTGGTGCTGGTCATTTTGACAGGCAGGCCCCAAAAAATTATTTCCAGGCTTGATAAACCGGCACCCCTCTTAAAGCAGAGACCCGTGTTTAAGTGGACACAAACCTGTGGTCCCAATGTTAATAAAACACTATATTATAACCCCTATTAAGCAGACACGTTTGTGAGATCCCAAAGGTGTCCAATGACCATTAATAAGGGTCTATAATTAAATACCAGAAATAAAAAGACCAGGGGCCGGTTGTACAAAAGCTTTTCAACAGTTGTAAAAATGCTTAAAAGCTATAAAATTACAGATATGGACCTCACAAATTTGATAAAAAAGAAACTTCAATTTACAAATATGTACTAATGTTTAATCTGGGTTATACCAAATAAGGGACTATTTTGGAAAGCTTGAAAAAGTTGCTATCTGGTGGATAGTGCTATCTCGCCTTCATGCAACTGGCCCCAGGGGGCAGTGGTACATAACCAGGTTAGTTTAATCCCTGGTTAAGTTAAGTTAACGCAAGACTTCAAAGCAAGCATCACCAACAGCTTCTTTATGAAGTTAAAAAAATCCAGAAATCTTGTCTGGATAAAAAGACCAGGGTTAGAGCTAATCATGTTATAACCAGGGTTTGAATTAACAGGCGTTGAGTGTGCAATTTGCGCATTGTTTTGGTCCAAATAGTGAAAATTGCCAATCACTTTCCACATGACGTACAGAATCTATTTTACAAAAGCAATTAGATATGTCCAATTTTGCCTTATATTTTGTACCCTATTGTATTTTTGTTAGTGGTACAAAATTGCTATGCCAATTTCCTATAAATTTGTCCAGAAAATTTATTTTTTTCTCTCCAGCCAGTCCTGGTTGTAACAACTGGCCACAGTTAGTATAAATTTTGAAGGATGTGTCACCTGGTCTATCTCTCCAAATTGTTTGTACAATACTTACTAACTAACCCCCATGCTTTCCTGTCATGCTTATTTCAAGTTCTAAACAGCATGAGAGAAATCAGGCTGACTTGGTTCTTAAGTGGTTTTTATTTCTAGTCAGAAACAATTATTCCTGGGCTTATAGTGTTTTAAATGATTTGTTTCCTTCACCACCAGGGTCACACAGAGAAATTTAATATTTTGTGGCCCGGGACAAATTTAATATAATTGATTGATTTCCATATTCTTGAACTTCCTTCAGTTTTAATGTTTATATAACATTTTCAATGCGTATTCTGTACTTAAATAGTATCTTACCCCGGAAAGATTTTGAAATCTAGAGTCCCTAGAGTAGCAATTCCTGCTTTTTGAGTGAATATTTAAATGTAGTTTCTAAGGAACTAGTGAGCTTTTGACAATTGCTAAAAGCCTCTGAATTTGATAAAGTGTATTCTTGTCAAGTACCAAACAACAGATTATGTTTTTGCATTTGCAATGGTATTAAACCAATGATGTATCTGCCTATACCTGTCCTTAGAATATGCATGCACGGAGATGACACGTAACATTTCGTACATTCCGTATCGTTCTATGTATAGGTATGACAATCGTAACGGTTTTTTAAATAAAACCAGGATCATACTGACATATACCAATTCACACTAAGGGACCGGTCATTGTTTATGGTAGGGGTGGCACCGAAGAGAATTGTTTTTTTCTTAGTAAAAAATTTGCTGATCTAATCATGGCTAACTCATTTAACCAATTAAAAAATAAATATCCTCCCTTGGCCAAGAACGTACAAAAGATACCATTCAGTTGTCACACATGTCCTTTGCCACTTCTGTGACTGCAGTCGACTCATTTAACCAATTAAAAAAAAATATCCTCCCTTGGCCAAGAACGTTACAAAAGATACCATTCAGTTGTCACACATGTCCTTTACCACTTCTGTGACTGCAGTCGAAAGTCTTTTACCACTGCAGTCTAAAGTTTCATGATGTCTGCACATGTACTTTCTTTGGAGACACCCTTTGCCTCCCGAAAATTCGGAAAGTGATCAAGATATTGACTCTGATTGGTTTACATATTGTATTGACATATGACTGTTGACATTACTTTTTAGTTGATTGAGTCATGCTTTAGAAATGACAACAGATTTTTATTACCCAACCCTTGAGTTGTTTTGTTTTTCATTTACCCAACCTTTCACTCACTCGAAATTTTGTGTATACCCAACCCTTAAGTGAGTCAGTAAGCAACTTTATTTTGCGAGGATTACACCTGAATGTAAAACTGAAAAACGTGTGGTCCTCTAACTGTTGTAACTAATAATAGTATATGTACTGTATTTACAGTAAATATTATACAAATAATGAATGTTTATGAGTGCAATGGTAAGAATATTTTCATGAGGTGAAAGATGGAATGTTCCATTCAACGAGGCGACAGCCGAGTTGAATGGAACATTCCATCTTTCACCGAATGAAAATATTCTTACCATTGCACGAAGAAACATTCATTATTTGTTTTATATAATACCAAAATAGACTAATAGATTCGTATGAGAAGCATTTTGATGGATGCGATTTATCGAAAACACAAAGAGTGCAATTGTACTATACGTTTTATTCCATTGCACTCGCGGAGAGTGCAATGGAACGTGTTCCATTGCACTGTTGGGAAATGGAATTTTCTGTTCAATATCACGTGACCATAAACAGCCAATTAAAGGATTAGAATTTAATAAGGTATTATATAATAGTAATCTAATTATAATGTATAATGTATATTATATAATACCTTGTTAAATTCTAATCGTTTAATTGGCTGTTTATGGTCACGTGATATTGAACAGAAAATTCCATTTCCCAACAGTGCAATGGAACACGTTCCATTGCACTCTCCGCGAGTGCAATGGAAAAAAACGTATAGTACAATTGCACTCTTTGTGTTTTCGATAAATCGCATCCCTCAAAATGCTTCTCATACGAATCTATTAGTCTATTTTGGTATTATATAAAACAAATAATGAATGTTTCTTCGTGCAATGGTAAGAATATTTTCATTCGGTGAAAGATGGAATGTTCCATTCAACTCGGCTGTCGCCTCGTTGAATGGAACATTCCATCTTTCATCTCATGAAAGTATTCTTACCATTGCACTCATAAACATTCATTATTTGTATAATGTATCTAAAGTTAAAAAGCAAACTATATTGTTCTAAAAAACACTTTCTAAGAGCTCTTTTAAAAGAATAAAAAGAATCATTACTCCTGATATCAAGAGGAATACATTGCTCCTGTTACTCCATTTTGCACCTTCAGTTTCTCTTTTATATCTAGGGCACACTAAGTTCAATTTCGAATGTCTATTAAATCCGCTACTACCCTGGATTCCAGAGCCACTAAAACCACTAATTCTGTTTTGTGATTGGCGCGGTTTAATCAAAGAAGCTTCCCGTTAAACCAGAGCCTTCGCGACGTTTCAATTTATTATTTACTGCCGAAGGCTCTGGAATCCAGGGTAATCCGCTACCGTAATCCACATTTCTAACAAGCATTTGTTCCATATATTGTGTCGATTGTCCAAAAACTCTGTTATAAATAACACAATACTTTCTTTATCTCATCACGCAAAGGCAGCCAATTTAATAATTTAAATAGTTTAGCACTTCTTTCCCTTGTGTATACATCCAGAATGACTCACGCTGCTCGCTTTTAATACTCGCGTTCAAGGTTCTCAGATGAGCATATACTCCATATAGTACTTCATAATTAGCTTTATCATAGCGTTGTAATACAATTCTCTCTTTTAACGGAAGATGACGTTTTATTTCATTCAAAACTCCAATTCGTTGTCCCAGTTTCTTGCAGGTTACATCGACATGTTCAGTCAATCCACCCCCCGCTGTCAATAATGACCGATCCCTAATCGGTACAATTCACAGACATTTTCCCAGCAAAAGTTTGTGTAATTAATCTGAGGCTCGTTGAAACGAAGGCAACATGTTGGTTCAACACCATAGAACAACACCATAGAACACCGATAACTGGCATCGGGCCGATGATTTTTG